GCCCCGCGCAACCTCTCCATATCCCTTAACCGGTCCCATCACAACCTGACAGCGACGGGTCGCACGTCGCGACACTCTCAACCGTCCAACCGACATCCGACGGGTGACGTCACCCCTCCCCATCCCACGTGTCCGCACACTCTCTAGATCTCCTCTCTCCACTCCAACCGCTGAAAAGAAAAAAAAAGAACTGCGACGGTGGTCACCGCGCTCTCAACTCCTGCTTAACCTGCGCCCTCCCTCGCTAAACCTGCGCCCGCGCCCAATGGCGACCGCTGGACCTCTCTCCGTCCTCGTGCTTCTCCTGCTACCTTGCGCCTGCGCCGACGCGGACCGCCTCCGCAATGCCACGTCGGCATGCTGGGGGTTTCAACAACAGCGTTGCTGAGAAACAGGTCAGATGCTGGTGATAGAATTGTTAGCATTTTTATTCGGTCGAGGGATGAATCGGAGCTCCAATAAAAAGCTTAGTTTGTCTGTCTTGTATTTATCTGTGATGTTAGTCCCAAGGTTTAGCCTTGAATATGTAGCTTAGAACATGTGCTAAATTTCTACTCAAGTTTATTGCGAATCTGAAAATTAGAGGCATGCTATTGCACCTTCTTAAAACTATATATATATTAACTACAAGTACTTTTCATAAATGTTTAGTAGCCTAGTGGAAAGTAAATCTTTTGTTGTTTCAAAAGGTCCATTGTTCGAGGCCAAGTCGAAAAATGTCTTATTTTGATTAATCCCTCATAAGTTATAGTGGACCGTGGGCCAATGGGCCGAGGATCGGGCTGAAGCGCTAAGTGACCTTTTGTATAATCTAAAGGAGCAATTCAAATAAGAGAGAATTTTATCGGTCCCCATTTGAATAATAGATCAATTCTCTGTTTGTCAATTTTTTTAAGTGCACAAGATCATAGTGCTTCTAAATGGAGTAATTCAAAATTGCTTCTTTCAAAAAAAATTCTAGATGTGAACTTTAATCGTGCATCAATAGTTAGAACAGATTAATTAAGTCACATTATAAATAGACAAATATCTTAAATCAATACACCAAAGTGAATGCTATAAGAAGGGAAAAAAAATATACCTCCCTCCAAATGAACTAAATTCATATCTGCGTCCTCATTAAAATACTTATAATTTATTTTCAGTTTCTTTTCTTTTTCCTTTTTCTGAACTGGTTCCATTTCTTCACTATCATACAAAGGCTCTTCATTATCGGTCTCTCTTTGCTCACTATGATAACCTCCCTCGTAGTTGGTCTGGTCCAATGAGGAGGCCAATAAGATTAGCTAGGCATTGTGCCTCTATAGAGTGTGACCCACGAATATTCAAATCCTCAAAAAGGTCATGTACGTTCTTGTCCACCAACAATGCCATCCTCATGTAACATCCCTCTTTGTATAGCTTCATGTGGATGATCCTGTGAATTCAGTAAATAATGTATTCAAGGGGGCCAAATCCAGTCTGGAGGACAATAAGGGAGAGAATTTCCCAAGCTAATCCTAGTACTCACAAGTGGTGGCTTCTTCAGATCTCTAGCTTTTGGTTTCTTTTGGTCAGATCTTTTGTAATAACTTTAACTAAACCTAGATCTTTCCCCTGATGTGGCTCTCCTCCTTGTTTTGTTTTCTCCCCTAGGAAGCTAGGAGCCAGTGGAGAAATTTTCTGGTTGATGACGACAAGGTCCGCTCCCATCCGAAAATTTCTTCTCCTGGCTCCTCTTCTTCCTCTTTACGTGTTCATTTGTATATACTTATCACAGTTTTTGGTTTTTACAGTTTTATATATAATGAGCAGGGGTTCTCACCCTGCTTCTTCCTTTCAAAAAAAATGTATTCAAGGATAATATGCAATATGGTGTACAAGATGCACTATCATTAATAATTTATGAATTATCACGAACTTACCTGGTTATATTATGCATGTGGTTCATGAGATCCTGCTTGTAATGGAGTATTTTTCTCCTCCCTCTCTTGTTGTTGTGGTGCAGTTTGTAACAATACAGCTTGTGGTGGCTTATAAAATATAGTAGGGGGACCCTCACCATCATCTACCAACATTGCTCCTAAATTGATTGCTATCCTCCCTTTTTTAAAATTTGGCAATTCTTTGTTCCTCTTCCTAACTTCATGTAACTCACATTGTCAACCCTCTCTTGTGCACATTGGTTTACATGTAGTCTTGTGTTATCACACAGGACTACATTATCATCTAATGTCTCCTAAATTATGTCTCCTACATTATCATCTAAATTATAGTTTTTCCTTTCCTTTTCCTTCCAAATTATGTCTCCTAAATTCTTCTATGAATTCGTGATCTCCACCCTCATTATCATCTAATGGCTTAAAAGGGTCAATGCTATAATTTTTCATCCTCCATTGAGTCATCATCATCAATGGAGGAAGATTCTTTATTTATAGGTAAGGGTTGATTTTTTTTTTTAGGAATATGTAGTAGTGCTAGAGTGAGGTTTGTGGAGTGTACAAGACTTGGTTGACCCTCAGTTACCTTTGCTTTTCCTTTTGGTGTTAGTTTCTTTCTCCCTAACTAAGGTGAATTTCTTGTTGGAGATGTCATATTAGGGTTAGATGTAGGATTATCCCTTTTTTAGGATTAGGTTCTAACACTTCTGATGGCACGTCAACACCATGATTTGCATAAACTTCTATTACCCTATGATCCAGTGCAACCATGATTGCAAGGTCTTGATCTGTATTTTAGGGCTACGAACCTCCACTTCTCAATCCAACACCAGTTATCAAGTAATACAAACTCTCCACAAATATTGTAACCAAACTCTTTACTCCTATTTGTCAAGAGCTCAATAGATATGGAATCCACGTTAATGATCCCAACACCGAAATCACCCCATGTGTGTTTCACATTTGGACCAAAATCAAAGTGCCCCCTCATGTCTAAATCTTATCATTAGAGGCCTACTCATTTGCACAGTATAAAACCAAAAACAAATTAAACATGAATTTTAAAATTTCACACACATTGTCACTATATTTGAAAAAACCCACAACCGTGATTAACCAAAAAAAACACTAATTTGCATATATATTGCTTTCCACTTAAATTATCTCAACATAATCATTCAAAATCTACATCAAATCTACACCAAGTACAGAGATTCTCACCTTTTTGGCCCTTGGTTGACGAATCTCTCAAAATTCAACGAGATTCTATCTCATCTTTATCTTCCCAAGGCCAATCTTCTGCTGCCAATCACATACTCCTAAAAGGGAATCTCTGAATTCAGTACGATAACTTCTTCCACCTTCAAATTTCGCTCCTTCTCTCCTTCTGCTGTTCAATTTTTAGGTCAATTTGGTGAGGAAGGGGAATCTGGGTATTTTGGGGTTGAATTGGGATCTTAGGGTGGTCATGATCCCCGTTTAACCTTTGCCACATCATCTACCCACGTTGGATTAAGTGATCACGCGCGGGTCACGTGAGGTCGATTGCTGGAGACAATGCTGGTCGGGCATGAAATTAGACCTAGTTGTCACCGTGTGAAACTTAGAATGCCTTATTGTCACCTGAGTGGAAAAAAAGACCTTATCAGTTAAGGGGTCAACTTAGAATACCAATTTGGTAATATAGCCAAACTTTCTCTGAACATACACATTCTCTCTCTCTCTCGCTCTCTCTCTCTCACACACACATTTGCCTTCTCTATGAATATGAGGTGTTCTAACTAAGTTGGAATGTTAGAATTTTTAGATAATCCAATCTAGAATCGAACGCAAAATCGTGGAAGCTATATTGTATGTACTTCCCAACCATCTTATTCACTCGCAGTGGCCTAAGCAAGTTAGACTTAGGACGCAATGTTAATAACACTAGATTATCTCCCTAAAAAAATATAATCTATGTATACTTAAATTGGTACTATATTCTAAACAATATTGTTCATCAGATCCTCACGTTAGTGGGACTAGTGCTCCAAATGTGATTGTTGTCAAACACCCCCTATTGTTTTCACAAAAGAGACAAAGGGCGGAGACATATATCATAGGCACAAAAAAGGCCATATCGCAGTTCATCTTGCAAACAGTAAGTATGAGTAGCACTTTCTTGAAGTAATAACAGGAGACATACTTGAGGAACGGGAACTCAAACCTATTTTTATATTCAAAGTCTTTCACATTACGATTTGATAACGTAAATCACTAATCATTCTGATCAGTACAGTATTAGATGGGCTTCAACCAACAGTTTCTAATCCATCTTATGTCATGCATTTCATTTTTCATCAACATCTTTTAAATCCATCTTACATCATGCTTTTTCACTTTCTTTTTTTATTATTATTATAAACAGTGAGTCAGAAAAACTAGGAAAAATTGTGTCTAGGGTAGGCTTTTGAAAAAGATATTCTTCACACCAGAAGTCGGATCAAGGTCTCCAATTCGATCGTAGACGACGACAACTTTTCAAATAATTTTAAAAAATAGAAATTGTATTAGACGAAACATATACGGGCAAAAAGTTAAGAGACGGGACCTCAGTCATGTTCTTAATTTAGGGCCTAGATAGAGTCTCTAGGCGCACACCCTTTCCAAAAAACAATTTCATCAGGAGAATAGTTTATCTTCTTCACTTTTTAACCTTTCATTTATTTTTCCAACAACAATATATCTCACTTTCATTAATTAACTGGATATGTAACTATAGAAGGTCACAAATCTAAGAAAATTAACTGACTACCGCTTTCTCCTCTCACCTCGCTGCCCCGCGCAACCTCTCCATATCCCTTAACCGGTCCCATCACAACCTGACAGCGACGGGTCGCACGTCGCGACACTCTCAACCGTCCAACCGACATCCGACGGGTGACGTCACCCCTCCCCATCCCACGTGTCCGCACACTCTCTAGATCTCCTCTCTCCACTCCAACCGCTGAAAAGAAAAAAAAAGAACTGCGACGGTGGTCACCGCGCTCTCAACTCCTGCTTAACCTGCGCCCTCCCTCGCTAAACCTGCGCCCGCGCCCAATGGCGACCGCTGGACCTCTCTCCGTCCTCGTGCTTCTCCTGCTAGCGGATAGTTTCGCTGAGATAATCGATCGCGCGCTCGAGAAGGAGTTCTCTGAGAGCGAGCAGAGCGATGGAGGCGAGTAGATCTGAGCTCGCCTCTCGATAAATCGTTTACTTAGGTCGAAACTGTTGGTATCGGTTTGTTTAATTTGTTTTGTTTTTGTAGAAAGCAATGCTGGGGGTTTCAACAACAGCGTTGCTGAGAAACAGGTCAGATGCTGGTGATAGAATTGTTAGCATTTTTATTCGGTCGAGGGATGAATCGGAGCTCCAATAAAAAGCTTAGTTTGTCTGTCTTGTATTTATCTGTGATGTTAGTCCCAAGGTTTAGCCTTGAATATGTAGCTTAGAACATGTGCTAAATTTCTACTCAAGTTTATTGCGAATCTGAAAATTAGAGGCATGCTATTGCACCTTCTTAAGAAGAGAAAGCTTGTTAGAGGGAAAAGGTTTTGCTTCAGGTCGGTGCAAAGTAGATAGGGATATACCGTACGTATACTGTTGTTTAACTACGTTTGTACAGAATACATTCAGTTTCAAATGGTGAGTAGGAGAGGTTGTACCATGCTTAAATCATTCAGGTTTTCAGCTCTAGAGATGATTTGTTCAAACATCTTGAGTTTTACATGATGTCTTTACTGGAACGATCTAAAGGACAGTTCACAATGTGTGCATTCCTCGTCCCGGAACGCAATTTAGATGTGTGTGAGAGCTAGCTAGCGGTGCAACTATGCTTGATTCTCATACTCACATAATTTAGAGTGTTATATTATATGTGTAGCTATCCGTGGTCGGGAAATTTTAAAAATACTAAAAAATCCAATTATTTTCCATCCTTGCATATTTCGTGTGCATTTCTGACGCGTGACATAACAATATTCTATAAAACTCCTCTGAGAATATTATCGTATAGAGCCATTTTCGTATATACCCCTTTATCTGCTTAGTCTTTAGGCCGACCTACTGTAACTCAAGTACAGTAGTATAAGTTCACCTATGCACAACTTATGCATACAGTGGTGGGAATTCATATATCGGCAACTTCTGTTTTTTGCACCAAGAACTGAATGGGCTGCAATTTTTGAAGCCAACAAAACAGTCTTGTAGTAACCTACCACTTCAATCCCATTAAAGTGAGGATCTTGCAATGGATTCAGCCTTGGATCAAAGAGGACAGCAATTATCTAAGAATGGACGGCCATGATTAGCCTTAGATTGAGGGTTAACTGAAAGTATTATTTTCGTCAAAAAG